CCCCTCCACCCCCCACCTCTCCCCAAACAACAACCCACACAGTGTGTGTGTGTGTGTGTGTGTGTCTGTGTGTGTTATTATGACTCTCCTCGTGTCACATGACCTGCCACAGTGGAGATTTATGACCACTACATTCCCACTCTCTCTGTGGGTCAATAATTAAAAATGGGAAAGAGCTAAGACGCTGTCAGGTCACTGGAGTTTCAGCAGGGGGCGACAAAGACCAGAAAGAGATCAACCACAGCAGAAAAAAGACTGAAGACAGTTAGAGAAACAAATGACCTTTAAACGATCAGTCTGTGATTCTGTCTGTGGGTCAGTCTGTGATTCTGTCTGTGGGTCAGTCTGTGATTCTTCAGTCTGTGATTCTGTCTGTGTGTGGGTCAGTCTGTGATTCTGTCTGTGGGTCAGTCTGTGATTCTGTCTGTGGGTCAGTCTGTGATTCTGTCTGTGGGTTTGGATGAAGACTGTAATAAATAAAATTGTTGTTATAAAACAAACTCCATTTAAAGACAGCAGTTTCTCTGTGGTGACACTGAAACAGACAGTACACGTCTGATCCAGCAGAGGGAAGTAGAGAACAGAAATGAGTCACAGAGAAAAGTATTTCTAGTGTGTGTGTGTGTGTGTGTGTCTCCAGAATAAAACAGGATCTTTGTTTTATTTTCTTCCATTTTTCTGAGCTGGTGGGGAGAATTGGAATTGGAGGAGAGGGGAGAGAGGGGGGAGAGGGGGGAGTCACTAGATATGAGGACGTCGAGGGTATAACAATGAGAGAGAGAGAGAGAGTGAGAGAGCGAACCCACCAATGAGAACACAGTGTGTAGTGTTTGATGTCTGACCTACAGTGGAACTACTGGACGTACAGGTCATGTGACCCAGGCTTTCATTTTGACAGTGCTATTTATTTTAGCACACAGTTAGCCATGCTAACAGTTAGCTACCAAAGGCATAGAAATGAAGCTAAAACGATAACATTAGTTTATAAGTAGCTGAAAGTCAAACATGACAGAAAGACCAACAGACGGGAGAAGATCTGGTCTAAACCTGACCAGGGTCAGAAGACCCAGTGACGTCAGCTGCTCTTCAATCTCAGCTGAGAAGAACAGGCCGTCCATCACCACGGCAACAGTTTCACTGGGTGTGTGTGTGTGTGTGTGTGTCCAGCTGCTCCAGTGTCTCCTTCAGTCAGACTTTCAAAAAACTCATTGTTTCAGTGAAACAAAGGGATTTCTGTTGACGTGGAGCTGGAACGTGACAGGATAACTGTTACTACTGCTGTTATTACTACTGTTATTACTGCTGTTAGTACTGCTGTTACTACTGTTATTACTGCTGTTACTACTACTGTTACAACAGCTGTTAATACTCTTGTTATTACTGCTGTTATTACTACTGTGTTTACTGCTGTTATTACTACTGCTGTTACTACTGTTATTATTACTGCTGTTACTACTGCTGTTATTACTGCCGTTATTACTACTGCTGTTACTACTACTGTTACTACTGCTGTTAATACTGTTGTTATTACTGCTGTTACTACTGTCTGGTGCCACCTGCAGGTCATTACTAATACAGCTGAATAAAAAGAGGCTAAAAATAATCTGTCCTTTAATTTAGTCAATCTTCAGGAAAGACCAGACTGAGAAGGTAGCTCATGTTGCTAACAAGTTTGATGCTACACTGTCCAACTTGATCACATTTGAACCATAATGCAACATTCCTCTATCAACCGACAGGACACTTGTTTTGTCAACTATAGTTGATGATCATAAATCAAAGCTTTTTATCTAAAATGTGCCCTCGTTCTCTGGCGTCCTGTTGTGTTCAGAGAACATTAGACCCCTTCTCTGTGTGCGACGACCTGAGCAGACCCCCGATCCTCCACATGTAGATAGAAAACAGAGGAAACTCATCTGACATCAGAAAGACCTGACGATCCAGGTGACGTCCGAAGCCCGTCTGTTCCAGATCCACCTCCACCCTGATGGACGAGGAACCTAGGAGCTGCTCCACAATCCAGAACAACTGACAGGAGTTTTGGTACTGGTCCAAGCGAAATAAGGCTGGGGAAGGGTTCTGGTTCTGATGCTGCCTCTGGTCCAGGTCCTGCTGTTAGAGACAAAGTACAGAATCAGTGTCACCCATGTGACCCAGGTGAGACTGAACTAAAATCTCTGATTTTCTCCATGGACTTTGGTCTGGGTTTTCTGCCACCTTTCCATCATCATAGTTTTCTCTCTGATTGTCTTCACATGATTGGCTGTCAGCCTCCATCACCACCCTCTTGTTAGCAACAGTGCTACCACATGAGCTACTGCTAGCTGCTAGCAGCTGAAGTTACAGATGTTAAAAACAACGACAATATCATCAAAAAAATGAAATGTTTGAATTGAGAGTTGATGATTCTGAATGAACCACAGTGGGAACGGACTGAGCTGGAGAAGGTCCTGGAGTTTGGAGACTTTAAACAGGTCCTTGAATGTCAAGGAGCCTTGAAGACCGATTGATGAAGGTGGAGATGGAGTTCTAACCTGGGAGATGGTCCAGAGCTGATTGGCCTCAGTGCTGATCTGTGACAGGAGGTGACCAATGAGGAAGGACCTGGACATGTTGCTTTGGCCCAGGGTCAGCAGACACTGGACCAGCTGCTCTGAAGTCTGGACCAGGTGGGAGGAGAAATCAACAGAACAAATGTCGGTAAATGTTTTGTGTTCAGATGATAACAGATGCCCCCCACCCCCCCCCCCCCCCCCCCTCCACCTGTCTGGGCTGGTCTCCCTGCAGCATCAGCAGTGCCTGCGTCAGCTCCGTCAGCGTCTTCTCCACCTGCTTCCTGACCTCCACGGACGGCAGCTTCAGAAAGCAGAGCAGGTCCATGGTCCGGACTGCGGTGTCACAGGCCTCCACAACATGCGGTGTAGGGGAGTGGGGGCCGGGGTGTGTGCAGACCCCCACCACTGCCTCCAGGAGCTGACACACTGACTCCACCAACACCGAGGAGGCGCCGTGCCCACTGCCACCACCAGGGCTGAGCCACAGAACCTCCAGGCCTCTGCTGTCACCTTTGACCCGCTGCAGGGAGCACAGAGTTTGGAGGAAGTTCACGTGACCATAGAGGGAGGAGTCCAGAGGAACCTGGGAGGGGCGGTAGGAGGGCGCCAGGGGCTGAGAGTCAGGAAGCAGGAGGTCAGGGGTGAGGGAGTCACTGTCAGGTGGAGGATCTGACGGTGCAAACAGATCCTGTGAGAATCTTTCCTCTGCGTCGTCCGGACCTGAGGAGTTTTAGAAGAACAGGAAGTGAAATCAAGTCCTGTTCCAGCACCAGACCAATCAGACACAGTGACACAAAATAACCAGTGGAGTCACTGTTGAGCTCACATTAATCAGCAAACCTTTAGCTCTTTTTTAAGCTAACATTTACTCATTTTCTTTTTTTTTTAAGTTTTCCTTCAAAATGAATTCATAGTAATTGTCAGCCATTTCATCTTTCCTACATTTATTTTTTAATTTTCTTTTTAGGACAATTTAAATTCGGAGCCAATATGACTCAAATAAATATTCATCTGTTTGTGGATCAAGGCTTTGAATCCCTTGGCCCGGTCCGTACCCTGCTCCGTGCTGCTGTTGCTGTTTGGAACTGTGCCCACTTGGGCCAGGACCACTTCCTGTCGCAGCCTCAGCACTTCCTGTTGCAGACCCTCAGCCTTCTCCCTCCAGCTCTGCTCCTGCGTCTGCAGGTTTTGGGCCAGAGCCTCAGTGTAGCTGCGGGCGTTCATCGCTGCAGGTTTGTTCCTGATGATGACTAGGGCCAGAGCCAGTCGGACCTGAGTGAAGAACCACAGCTGACCATTCCTGGTTCCTGTCAAGGGCAGAGTTTCAGACACGGTTCTCCAGGAACAGTTGGGCATCAATCAAACAACTGTTGGACCTTTTTCAACATTAAAACCAAGATTAATATCAGTTTCATTTAATGTAAATAGATTTGAATGTAAAAAATATATATTATAATGAAACAACAGAATGTTGATTTACTTGTTGACTAGTTATCATGTGTTGTGTCAATTTTTTTATTTCATTTCACACATTTTCTTCAATATCGCTGTTTCTGTTTTAGACGTTTGATATTTAACATTAATACAGAATTAAATAAATATACATATATATAAAATGTATTAAAATCGGATTTTAAAACGAATAAAAAACAAAATATTCAATAACTAACTTAACATTTTACATTCGTATCAAGGTCTTAAACCAGAGCTATCTTAGCGCGGCTAGCTAATTAGCCTCACAGCCGCAGCTATAACTTCTTTTTTTTTTACCACTTTTACCTGATTAAAATGACAAAACTCGACAGTAAATGTTTGACGTGTGACGTTGGGAGAAACAGACGCGGTTAAACAGACCATTCACCTGCTGAATTATTCTCTTTATCCTCCATAAAACCGTCAACACAAGAATAGCTCTTTACCGCCGGTAAACTCCAGTGTTCTGTCAAAACATGTAACGCGGACTATTTCACTTCGTCCGCCATGACACCCCCACACGAGACGTCGCTGGAGCGCTGCCAGATGGGAAATTATTCACAATTCACAGTCATTGTTACTGTCGCTTCACAGTGATCGTATTTTGAGCCAAACTGTCGTAAGTACTAAAACTGCAGCTCGGGTTACGGGATCCTGGTCGATAACACGCCGTTAGCCTCGGTTCTGGACCCTCCGGTCTAGTCGTTTCTAGAATTTAATTATTATTAGAAAGTTTTAATAAAAAAATAGCTTCGAGGTATTTAAAACAAAATCCTTCCCTGAAAAGGCTTTGAATGTAATCATGTTAATAATTTACAGAAAATAAAAGAGTAGTCTTTCAATTTGTCCACAAGAAGGCAGCAGCGGCCCGTATACTCCAGTCCACGAAGATTCACAAAACTAAACACGTGTTTTATATGTGAAAAGAAAATAATTATACATCAGAATTAATACCACAGTCTGTCCACTAGGGGCACTCATCCTTCTCCTTTTACTCTATAGAAATATCAACAATAGTTGTTGTTTTGGGCTATATATACATTAATATACATATATTATTAAAAATATTTTTACATAATGAATAAATGCATTTGGAATTTGTTTTGTTTTCTTCTATTGTTTTCAGCTACACCCCCCCTGAACCCCCCCTCATTTTGTCAGGTTAATGTAGGCAGCAACGTTGGCACAAAAACTCTGAACTCTTCAGTGAGCAGAGAAAGAACGTGTTTGTTCTCAGTTCTGCCTCCTGCAGATGGCGCTGGTGAGCTTGAATCATCAGGCTTGTGTTTTCAGAGAGCATCAGAGGTCACAGGGTCACTGACCTGGTCACAAACTGTTGTTCAGTGGATGTTGGCCCCCTGGTGGCCGGTTGCAGAAATGCCGTGTCCTGGTTGTTGGAGTGACAGCTGCCACAGGAAGTCACTAACAGGATGATGGCGCTGCTGAGGATTAGGATTAGGATTAGGATTAAGATTAGGTCTGAGCACCAGATAAAGTGGTTTAACTTTTAACCTCCTCCTCACTTCACACTGTTACTGTTGTTACTGTTACTGTTGTTACTGTTCCTGCTGCTGCTGCTGTTACTGCTGTCCCTGTTCCTGCTGCTGTTCCTGCTGTTACTGTTGTTACTGTTACTGTTGTTACTGTTACTGCTGTTACTGTTGTTACTGTTACTGTTGTTACTGCTGCTGCTGCTGTTACTGCTGTCCCTGTTCCTGCTGCTGTTCCTGCTGTTACTGTTGTTACTGTTACTGCTGTTGCTGTTGTTACTGTTACTGCTGCTGCTGCTGTTACTGTTACTGTTGTTACTGTTCCTGCTGCTGCTGCTGTTACTGTTACTGTTGTTACTGTTCCTGCTGCTGCTGCTGTTACTGCTGTTCTGACTCCGTCCCGACCGTCTGGACCTCGTTCTTCTGGAGACTCCTCCGTCCTCATGACGTTCATCTCAGACGTCCAGACGTTCTCTCACCTCAGTGACATCATCATGAGCTCCACCTAGTGGGACACTCCTTCCTCCTGGACTCCTCCTCCTCCTGCTCCTCCTCCTGCTCGGCTGCTCTGACTTTGTCCTGTGTGTTGGGGGCAGTCTTGAGGAGCTCCACCATGGTCTGGGACCGTGGTCTGCTGCTGCTGCTGCGGCTGCTGCTGCTGCTCAGTGGGCGGGCGGACGGAGTCGACGGTAACTGTCCCACTCTCATTCTAGACTGTAGGTGGAGGAGGAGGTGGAGGAGGTGGGGACGACACCGAGGTCATGTGATCAGAAATGTTTTATTGTCACCACAGGAACAGAACCTTGTTCGTCTGACAGCGGGCTGAGGTCAGAGGGCGGGGCTTATTGAGTAGTCGCTAATCCCAACTGAGGTAGAAGATTATGGTTCACTTCTTTAGCTAACAGTTAGCCCCGCCCACTCTGAGACGTCCACTGTTGTCGTCACAGACACTCTTCACTG